TAGGAATGGCTTTACCAAATTAGACTTTGTATAAAATTGTCTATGTGGCCTTTTATATTTCAGAAGCAGTTTGCATTGTTATGTGTGTTTCTATTGAAAGGTGAGATTTATAGAATATGGAGCAGTCATATTATAGGATATGGAGGCATCATAACTCAGACTTCTGGAATCACAATGCATGAAGTTGTTCATAGGCATATTGACACTTATCATTAGGTGGTCTTTCAGCTTATTTGTTACCGCAGTTACGAAAAAATGTACTAAAAGTTTGATCTTCAGCACGAGAAGTAAGAAGTTCATGCTCTTAAAGCTACTAAATTTTGAAATTTGTAATTAAATTGCAGTGCAGTAAAAATTATGTAGTAAGGTTAGAGATTCAATATTAGATTATTAAGTTACTTTATAGAGCAAATATTTCTAAAATTGGCAACCCTACAGTCACGCGCATGTTCAGTTAAAAAATTTGCGAATATACAATTTCTATAAATCTAACTGGTTCTGTATCCATCTTTTAGACAAATGGGCACATTTTCACAGATTCATATTTCCAAATAATGACAACTACTTGTATCTGCTCTTAAAGATTCTTTTCTAAACTTCTTTATATTTGTTTTTTTAAACGTTACACACTTCCCTTTAATAAGGGCTAATTATATAGTAATAACAGTAATATAGCTCATCTTAGAAAGACCTATAAGTAAATATAAATATTTTAAAGATATTTTATTTATATATTAGCACACAATAATTGGTATAAGGATTCTTAATGCTCCATGATAAAAAAAGAAGCAATAAATAATAAATATAAGTATGTAACACGTGTTATTTAAGATAATATATATATAATCTCAGGACAATTCACACAGCGCCATCTAGTCCCAAGTTAAGCTAGCTAAAGCTTGTGTTACGGGTACTATATAACTGATACAAATACATAGATATATATTTTTTCGTAAATACATACATATTATACATATAAAACACCCAGACCGATACAAACAGTCATACTTATGAATATAAATGTTTGTGCCGTGCGAGGAATCGAACCCGCGACCATCGGACGTAAAGCGGTGTGTCAGACCGCTAGACCACCGAGGTCGTCGATATGTATGAAATGATCCCACTGTCTCTCAGATATACTATAAGCTTCTTTGCCATTTTAGTATTATGAAAATATATAAAAAGATTATGTTATTAATATTGAAACTTTCCAATCAAAACAGTGTTAATAAGGGCTAATTAAAATAACAGTAATATAGATCTTCTTAGAAATACCTATAAGTAAATAAAGACATATAAGAAGATAAAGGTACATAATAAACAAAACATATACAGTAATACTAACATAATGTATCGATATGACTACCTGGGTAGTCTGGGGTAAAAGAACTTTGTAAGACCTGAAATCGTCTGAATGTTTCTAGTATGTTCATACAACCCACATACCCGTTTGTAGTAATTGGAAGAATTTCAAAGATCTCATCAAATGAGCAAATATTAAACATTTATGTACAAGTCACTCTTACTACGGGCTGCGTACTTTAAAATAAATGTGCTTGCAATTTTGCAAGAGTGTCATAAAGTTCCTAATTACCCTTATGGATAATAACGAATTTAATGACAAAGTTAAGATGTACCTTTTGGTTTATATGTATATTTTACATCATTAAACACTTCTGTCACTTGTTTGCAACATTTCAGTTTTAAGAAAGTACTTATTATATGGCTCATGATGAAAATTACAGTAGGTACTCTTTGATATGGATATCTAGAATATAACATTTTGGTCTGTAAATTAGACACTGTTTTGATTGGAAAGTTCCAATGTTAATAACATAATCTTTTTATATATTTTCAAAATACTAAAATGGAAAAGAAGCTTATAGTATATCTGAGAGACAATGGGATCATTACATATATTTCGACGGCCTCGGTGGTCTAGCGGTTTAGCAGACCACCTTAATCCCGATGGTCGCGGGTTCGATTTCTCGCACGGCACATACATTTGTATTCACGAGTACGATTGTTTATATCGGTCTGTGTGTTATGTACGTATAATATATATGTATTTACGAAAAAAAATATATCTATGTATTTATACCAGTTATCTAGTACCCACAACACAAGCTTTGGCTAGCTTAACTTGGGTCTAGATAGCCCTATTTGAATTATCGAGATTATTATTATTATTATATACTTGTACATAAATATCACCTATGGCAATACGTCTTTTTGTATATGTTTTTAATTATTAATATTTTACGGCTCTGGATACAAGTCCTTTTTAGCCCAACATAAAGTACAAAAACTTAGCAACAATCTTGTAAGATTCGTGTGTTGTCTGATTCCTGAGAACTAAAATATGCCTCCACATGTACTAATTTCACTGATACATATAATGTGTGTTTAGGTGCTTTGGTTAGCAAAGTTATACGCTTCTAACCAAAACACAGCTTCTTGATGGCATCAGTAGATGAGACGAGGTACAATTACAAGATACTTTTTTACATATATTACGTCTTACTTTAGCGTCCTAAAGATATTTATCGTTTCAAAGGAGCGTTATCTTATAATTCTGACCTGTTGCAGTCAATAAATCTATGCAAACATTTAGAGTAGTATTTGCATATAAGTTTAATAAAGTATTTAAGTAAAATAATAATAATAATAATTTCAGGACAATTCACACAGCGCCATCTAAACCCAAGTTAAACTAGTTAAAGATTGTGTTATGGGTACTAGATAACTGATACATATACATAGATATTCTTTTTTGTAAATACATACATATTATACATAGAAAACACCCAGACCGGTACAAACAATCATACTCATGAATACAATTGTTTGTGCCGTGCGAGGAATCGAACCCGCGACCATCAGTCGTAAAGCGGTGTGCTAGACCGCTATACCACCGAGGTCGTCAAGTAAAAGGGATGAAAAATACGCAGATCTCTGCGTTAAAACCCCTTTAAACTCGTAGCTATAGAGTAATAAACGCGTTGAACACCCGATACGGAATCAATCATAAATGCATAGAATAGTTAACCGTACGCCGGCGGCAGGGCACAGAAGTCCCTTTATTAACGGTGGCTTATTTGCTCACCCACATTGTAACGAGTTCAATGGTATTACCATTTAATGGAGCAAGCGAACCTGAGGCCATGTTTTTACATTCTCCACAGGGGTTGTTTGAATTTTTGACTCTCAATTAGAAGCCAGAGGACATTAGGTGTACAGATTTGGAGGACCGTAAGTGCATTTGTGTTAGTACAATGTTGACTGGCTTTTATCAGATACAACTTGATTTCCGACTAAAGTAGACACTTGTTTGTTTATACAGTTGGTTGTTAGATTCTTTGTCATTTTCGAACGTTCTGGAATAACAATATAAGTGGCTTCTTTATGTAGCTGGAAATAAAAACCAGCTGTTGGAGTAGTTGATAGAAAGTAGCAAAGTATTTATTAAAATCAGTTGATAATATTTTTTTATCAATGTTAATTTATCGTAGTTTCTTTTGAAAGACGAGATACGAGTATTATAGTAAAATTAGGGGATTTATGACGCCTCAGTCCTTCGAAATAGCAATAGGGATACCAAGTCCGGTCAAGGATATGTTGTCCATATATACTACTCACGTATACATACAGGCAACAGTTATCACCTATTAACTGGTGTGTAGCTAGTTTATATTTTATCGTATTAGTTGTGATTTCTTATTAATTTAGTTCATTCTATTAATGGATTAATGAATATCTTATAGACTAACACACATAACGGCAATCTGCGACGGTAAGCGCCAATATCACCCACTTTTTTATTATGCTGTCCACTTCATTGCTTAATGGATTTGTGTTATTTTGTTTAATTCCGTTACTATTAGCATGTATTAGACCACTAATATCCAGTGCCGAAACCTAACCACGGCTATCCGGAGCTTTATTCCCTTCATCATTAGTTTTGTAAGCAAGATTGCCATTAAAAAAATCGCCGATTGTTGCGTTCACCATCACTGTTCATCAATCCCATCAGGGATAAGTCATATCGATACGTATATTGTATGTTATTTTTAAGTGATCTGACTTGGTCTATCCTTAGAGAGTCGAGTTTTTTTTTCGGTTGATAATGGAATTGTGCACCCGCCTGCGCTAACGGTTTACGCTGACGGGGCACAGGATGATAAGATGAGCATGTAATCAGGTCAGATAGCCCATCGTGACAAATTCTCCAGGATTTTATCACGATGGTTTACAGGGGGGACCGCGTGGTGGTCAACCTGACATACTACATTGCAATGGTCATGAGTCCACATTACTAACGATCCCCCTCCCCCCTAGAGGCTGGAGTTAATCTCAAACTACCCCATAACATAACAATATGTACGTTGTATGTTATTTTTAAATGATGTGACGTGGCCTTAGAGTCTTTAGTTGAAGCATTATAAATAGACAGTCTAAAAGGTAACGTAACTAATTACAAAAGCGCGTAAATTAAATTTCGTATGGTAATTGACTAAATACAATTAAGAACCCCGACACTGTATGGGAGCCTTCGTGAAGACACGAACATTGTTTAATTAGATGTAAGGTACTTTATAACATGAGTGTTATCTACATATAAATATATTATATTTGACGGCCTCGCTGGTCTAGCAGTTCGGAACACCACCTTAGTTCCGATGATCGCGGGTTTTATTCCTTGCACAGAACAAATATTTGTATTCATGAATATAATTGTAAATGTCTGGGTGTTTTTGTTAAAAATATATATCTAAGTATTTATATCAGTTTTCTAGTACCTATAACACAAGATTTGTTAACTTGGGACTAGATGGCGCTGTGTGAATTGTCTTGAGTATAAGTTTGTAAACCTAAAATTTATGCTGCTAAAGATATAATCAAGGAAAAAAAAACTATATATTAAATTTTCAGAAGACATTTATTTTATTAGTAATACTTAAAAATAATTAATCTATACTAAAATTATATTCTATTTACATTTAGCTATATCCTTTTCTATTTAAATTATAATATAATCCCTTAAGTTCTAATAATTCTTCGTGCCTGCCTTTCTCTACCACCTGCCCCTCGTTGATAACACAGATAATGTCTGCGTCCCTCACTGTACTGAGCCTGTGGGCAATCATCACGCATGTGCGACCTGCTTTCGCCTTATCAAGCGCTTCTTGCACCACCTGTAATTTTTTATTATTAGTTGATTATGGAGTGGTTGAAATGGTGATCAGCGCTGTTGTAAGGGTAGATGCTCTGCCGCCCACTGTTGAAGTACTGTGCGATATGTTCCCCTAGCCAATTAGTTCAGTTGAAAAGGAGACAAAATTTTTTTCAAATTCAAATTCAAAAATCAATTATTCATGTAGGACATTTTAGCCGCTTATGAACGTCAAGTTTTTACATTATTTTCCCTACCGTCCAGTTCGGTATATAGATCCAATTGAGAAGAACTGGCAAGAAACTCAATTGAATTACTTTTTTTTTTAAATCCAGTTAACATATATTATAACATAGGTACATACATTATTAACAATCCCAACCCCCCCCCCCTCCTTGTAATTATTATTTGCTCATTTCTACTAGCTGACCTCGCAAACGTTGTTTTGTCATATTAATTATCCCTATCAAAAATATGAGTTGGTGATAGAAGGGTAGAAATATTGGGTTGTATGCATTTTTAATGTCACATTATAAAAAAAATGTTAGGGATGGACAACCTTTATCACTTAGGGTTAAAAATAAATAGTAGGCGATTTTCAGACCTACTGAATACGTATATAAAATTTTATAAAAATCAGTCAAGCCGTTTCGGAGGAGTATGGTAACTAACATTGTGACACGAGAATTTTGTATATGAAATACTTCTATAATATCACTGAAATACAAAGGGTCAAAGAAAAGAGACAGATCTTAAATACTTCTAGTTGTAGATAAAGGAATGTGGCAAGGATACTCTTATAAAAGCCTCGGTGGTCTAGCGGTATGGCATACCACTTTACTTCCGAAGGTGGGGTCGATTCCTCACACTATATAAATATTTGTATTCATGAATATGATTGTTTGTATTAGTTGGGGTGTTTTCTATGTACATATGTTAAGAACGTATTTAAAAAAAAATTATCTAGTACTTATACTCATAATCGAGCTCTACTTTGATTTGGACTAGAATGTACTGTGGGAATTGTCATTGTTTATTATCCTTACTTCCTTACTAAAATTGTAAATATGAAAGTTACTCTGTCTGTCTGTCTCGCTTTCACGCCAAAACTACTGCACCAATTCAAATGAAATTTGGTATACAGATAATCTAGACTCAGAGAAAGGACATAGGCTACTTTTTAATTTGAAGAAAAGGTTGTAAGGGGGTTGATTGGGAAGATGAAACGTTCTATGGAAGTATCGCCATTTTTAAAGCTAGAAACTTGAAACTTATTTTGAAGCTTTTGACTATCATGACATTCAAAGTTTGTACAAATTTTAACCTTAAGGGGGTAAAATAAAATAGGGGATGAAATGGAAATTCCTCATTCGTCCTCTATTCTTTGCGAAAGAAGTCGCGGGCACAGCTAGTTATTATATAAAATAAATTTCATTATACCTTTTCACTCTCTGTGTCCAGTGCACTGGTTGCCTCATCAAGGAGTAACATTTTTGGTTTTCTGATGAGAGCTCTTGCAATAGCCACCCTCTGTTTTTGACCACCTGATAGCTGCGTGCCCTTAGATCCGATGTTTGTGTCATAACCCTAGAAATAGAAAACCAAATTAATTCGGAAATTCCATATTTGGTATAATCAATTATACGCACCGATAAACAAAGTTTTTATAATAATTATTAAAAATTTAATTTAGTTTATTTTATTTAGATTTATAAGGCGGTTGGTTTTTCTAAGTGATCTGTTATAAGTAATATTGTTTTTTTTTATAATTACAATGTAATTATTAGTTAGACATAACAAAAAATGTATGCAAATTTCAATATTTTTCAAACAATTGATTGTTTTGATAAAATAGTGAAATGAAACAAATATATGTTGAAACACACCGTAGATAAAGTTGTTAGGTTTTACAATAGAAAATTAATATTCAAATATCATTAATTCATGGAGGACATTCTAGCAGCTTATGAAATTAAAATTTTTTATGATAATTTTTTCCTAGCGTCCAGTTCAGTAAAAAAGTGTTAAAATAGAGCTGAAAATAATAGAAATAATTACCAATGGCAAAGAAGCAATAAAATTGTGTATATTCGCTTGTTTAGCGGCTTCAATGATTTCTTCCATTTTCATTTTCCGCATATTGTCGCCATATGCAATATTTTCACCAATGGTGAGGTCAAAAAGCACAGGTTCTTGTTGGACGAATCCAATAGGCCGCCTGGCATCAAGTAACCGTAGTTTTGGTAATGGTATACCATCTTGAGCCTGAAAGAAATATTATATAATATCTAACAATTTTAACCCCCATTTATCCCTCCGATCTATCCCCCGTCCTTCAGCCGCTCTATAAGTCCTTCCGCGGGTTTGCAGTGCCATCTGTACTCGACCCCTATCATTCGGTGAAATTGTAAAGGCCAGCTGCGACCAACAGCATTAGAATGGTCCGAATAAAAAAAAAAATTAATGTTAATTTGGGATTTTTGACTGTATTATTTGCACGATCCGAAAATCTGCATTAAGGAGTATATTTGTTTTTATTTATCTGGTTATTCTCTATAATGTATTTACAAAAAAATGGTTTAAGTATTGTCCATCAGTTGTGTAACCCATACTAGCACTGCTTTGTTTGGGACTATGACGTTGTATAAATTGTCTAAAGTTATTATATTTATTTATTATCTTCAAGATTTTTATCCTGGATATGAGATTCAGAGAAATTGTCAAAGATCATCGTCGTGGTAAACGGAATATTTGCTTTTTTCACATATCAATTGGAATATTTAAATTCAACGTGGTATATATTGCTATTACTTACCACTATTCCACTATCAGGATCATAGTATCTCTCCAGCAATTGTATAACAGTACTTTTACCACAACCACTGGCTCCAACTAAAGCTATTGTTTTGCCTTGTTCTACTTCTAGATTCATATTCTTTAATACTTGTATCAGCGGCCGAGTTGGGTATCTGAATTGTACTGCCTCAAGAGATGCTTGACCAGTACCTCTCTGAAATATAAGAATGTTTTGCAAATTAAGTTGAATTCTTTTAACCATTGAGACAAATATTATCTAAGGTTATAAAGGAAGAGAGAGCGGATTTTGTTTTAGGAAAAGTAAATTTCGGAAATGCTGTACTGATTTGTGCACTTCCTTCAGTGTCTGAAAGGTCCATTATTTCAAAGTGATATAAGCTATATCAATAAAGCTCACAAAATTATGAAGCCTGAAAGGGCCATTATTGGTATAGTTAATCTATGATGTTTATAACGTACTCTGTGCAGTTGGCAGTCTGTATTGTAAAATGGCAGGAACGGTCAAATTAAATATGAAGCGCGAATCTGTTTTTTATTTAAATTAATATTTAAATACAGTACAATAGGTATATACTTTTTGAAATTTATTCATACTCAATCATGACATACATCACAATATTATATACGAATAATTTAAGACTTTTCTAAATATGTTCTGAACTATAATAAAGATTGAACTTACAAAGTCTTTTACGGGATGTGGAGGATCTGCTATTTTCGATTGCCTGTTAAGCAGAACAACGATGCGTCCTGCCGCCTTTATTCCCTTTTGGAAATTAGGTGCAAAAGCAAAAGCTTGAGCTGCTGTAGCAGCACCCATAAGAAGAGCCTGTGCAGATCTAAAAGTAAAAAAGCAAATTAAATGATTTGTATTGTACACCATTACAATTATTATACTTTAGAATATAAACTTGCGTAACAATTTTTTTAGGATCTTATTCGGGAGCTTGATATAATTCAGAGTGAGTCGAGATGTTGCGGCAAATGCACAATGTAAAACAATGGTTGTGAAAGATAAAAACACTATATAACTAACTACTTGTATGCAGTTGTTAAGATTATTAAATTCTTAATAGATCTCTAGCAATAGGACATGGATCGATAAAGGTCCTCTTCTTTATAAAAAAAATATTCTTTAAACTGAAATATAATATAAATATATAATCACAGGAATAGAATAATCACAATGGTTTTGTAGACGTAAATATTTAGAAAATAAAAATAAAAGTACAAAATTACTACTAACTTCATCGTTTTTTAATAATAAAGTTGATGAACTAATATCTGATGAAATAGGCAAACGTCGGTTATATACCTATATACATGAATAAGACCATTCATGGCTTCCATAACCTACCATTCAAGAGAACTAAGGTGTCACGAAATTTTATGGCAGTAATTATTCTTATGAACTTACTTCAAAATCAGTTCGTAATCGACATCATCATATAAAATCAGCGTTCCTCCATAATACAGTGCTGCAGCATATACGAAATTGAATAGACCTCGGGAGAGACCGAAAACAATGCCTCGAAGATGGGTTGAACGGTTTGCAAGTACGAGCGCCGGTAGAAGTTGTGTGGCATATTCATTTCTGAATGACTCCTCCTTACCAAGTGATGCTACTGTCCGTACGTTTGATACAGCTTCTACAGCAATCTGTTGAAGATTTAAATTATTACTTTATATTATTATTATTGTTTTTTGTAATTGGAACACACACACACACCAAACAGCCTGGGATACCTGATGATGAGTATAAACCGTGTAAAATTGAACAGCATTACGAATATTATACTTTGTCACTCATGTGATACTCTTGCGTTCCCATTTTAGAGGACTGAGATATCATTGTTTCTTATCCTGTATTTACACTACCTATTCTATACCCAACAACCGCAATACAGGTTACAAAGCAAGCTGCTTGGCGGCATATATAGGTGAGACTAAATTACCCGAAGACGTTTTTTAGAGTCTACTTATGGCTTATTTATATAGTTATTAATTGTTATAATATATTTATTTAGTTTTTGATTATATAACAGTTTGAAAGTTAATATATTTAAACAAACATTATCCTAGATATAAATCATATAGAAGTTTATTTTTCTCTCGATTAAATTTGGTCCATATTATAAATTGACAGATTTTTTGAGGTCGATTTTTGAACTCAGGATTTTTTGGCCTCAATTTATGCAGTGTAGCAAAGCGACTGCTATCTATACTCTCTCTAATTACATTAAAAATATAATCTTATTAATTACCTTTGAACTGGACTCCATTGTTTTGGCTGCTCCAAAAGACTCGGCGCTTACCATTCTTCCTTCTTTGTACAAAATAACGGCCATTATTGGTGCAAAAGTAAACGCAACCAGTCCCACTCGCCATTCATAGTAAAGCGCCAAGGCCAACGCAAATCCAAACGTACCCAATGCTTGTAACACAGTACCAATTCTTTGTCCAGTAGCCTTAAATTTAGAATCTGTTTTAAAATCGATTTACGCAGAAATATAAAAGTAATAGAATATATCGAAATGCGTTGGAATATAAAAATATACGAATACAGATGCAAATTTCACATCACTAGCTTAGTGTTATTATATTTTTAGCATTTATCTTCAAACTACTATATTTTTAGTTACAGACCCTTCATTATTACGTATACCTATATTTTTACGCAATATATAATACGCAAAATAGTCAAGAGAGTAAACTGTTTATTTGTTAGTTTATGCGTTAATATTTCATGAAATATTGGCTGGAGGAATACGATCAAATTTTCAAATATCTATAGAATATATGGGTAAACCTATTGGCTAAAGAAAGTTGGGAAATGTACAAAGAAGACAGTATTTTTTTTAATTATCGTTACATGTAAGGATAACAGTATAAAGGTGTGAGTATGTATATTTTTATAGTTACCTATTACAATAGTGAGTAAATACTCACTATACTAAGCGATATTATTTTGTGAATAAAAGCTGAGCAAACTTACGCCTTGCACAGCAGCTGCCTCTCCGGATAATTTAGCGCAAAGTCCTCCTGTAGAGTTGTTTTTATCATCATAGAAAGCGATCTCTTGTTGCAACAATTTTTGAAACATTAATCGTCGCAGACGTTCAGTTAGATGTTCTCCAGCTATGCCATAAAAGAATACCTGAGATAAATGAGGCAAAGTAAATAAAAAGATCCTAGTTATTGAACACTAAAATTTCAATGAGTATTTATATATTCTATTAAGTTACCGTTATAAAGTTTGTGATTCCTGAAAATACACCAACTCCGACAAAGATTAGGGCAAATTTTCTAACTTCAGCGGCAACTTCATCCGGGTCTTTATTTGACAATACCTAAAATATAAAACAGTTTTATTGTCAGACCGTAAGCATAAAAAAATGTATTTAAAATTGCAAGAGTTTAATTATATCAATAATGTTTAAAAGGAATGTGTCATTTTCTAAACATTCAATAAATAATTTTCCACGTTTTTAAATTTTTAACATAAAGATATCTTGAAACCGTTGTAATAAAAATATTGATTTATATATGGCATATACACATCAAAATCAAAATGAGTAATTAAATACATACTTACACCGACAAAATCACCGAGTATAATAGCTAATACAGGCATAGCAAAACCGCTCAAAAATGAACATACGCTAGCAAGAGTAACAGATTTCCATTCAGGTTTGTTCAGTTTAACCACTTGGAAGAATGATATGTCTGGTATTACTTCTTCCTCCAGTTTCTCCTAAGGAGATAAAAAAATAGAACAATTTAATATACAAATTTTAAATAAATAAAAGAGATATTCCTATTTTATTTTTATAGTGATCAAACTCACATTCATTTTTTGCTCGACAAATTCATCTTCATCGTCTTTGTCACTTCTGACAGATAGCTCACGAGTTAGATTAGGTTTATCCTCTGAGAAAATAATATGTAAATTTAATATTACACATATAATAATTACATTTTTTCATATATTTAATATTAATAATTGCAAAATAGGTTAACAATAATTTATTTTAAATTGGTAACAAATTTTGAAGTAACTTAAGATTCCTTTCATATCTTAGAATAATCGAATTATCTTACCGTTTTCAATATTTGCACCTGGAGCTGATTGCATTGTAATCATGTCATAATAATGGCCTTTTTTCTTGATCAATTCGTCGTGATTACCAACTTCCACTACAGTTCCGGCTTTGAAGACGTAAATTGCGTCGACATTTCTTATTGTGGAAAGTCGATGAGCAACTACAATAGTGGTTCGACCCTCTTGAGCCTAAACATAAATAAATTTATGACCATCACATGAGCTACACAAAAAAATCCTGCGCCTTGAAGAACTAAATGCCGAATACTTGTCTAGATTTCAGCATAGGCATAATAACTATAAATTTAGCGTTAAATCGCTAGCGTTCGTTATGGCTAAGAATATACAGGTTTTTATTCAGATACACGTAGGGCTACTTAAATAACAAGTTCTAATTTCCTCTATCACTCAGTAGTAGGTACTGAAGTTATAACTATTACGTAATATGAGGTGAGGCATTGATTAGATGAACCGTATTGATTAGAACTGTATTATTGTAATTATTATCATATTTTACTATAGATACCTTGTCAAGCGCTTTCTGTACTTTTGCTTCAGATGCATTATCTAGTGCACTAGTGGCTTCGTCTAGAAGAAGTATACGTGGATTGCGGACCAGAGCACGTGCTATTGCTATACGTTGTTTTTGACCACCAGATAGTGATGCTCCTCGTTCACCTACGAGCGTATCGTAGCCCTAAATGAAAAATAATTGTTACTTTTATATTAATGGAAATATATCAGGCCAAAACAAAAAGGTTTAAAGTATGGTATTGTTTGCAATATATTCTAATGGGTTAAATATTACATGTTATCTGCACTTACATTTGGCAATTTCATAATGAATTTGTGAGCATTTGCTTGTCTTGCACAGTCTTCTATTTCAGAATCAGTGGCGTCGTCGCGACCGTAACGTATATTCTCTCGAATGGTAGTATTGAAGAGTACAGGTTCTTGGCCTACCAGACCAATTTGTTCACGGAGCCATCGCACTGATAAATGCCGTACATCATTATTGTCGACACGCACCTGTAATTAATATTATATCTGTATATTTATATTCATGCTACAGTCTTTGTGAAATAAGTAGAATCTAGTTCTAGAAGCTTCAATTTTCATAAACATATCCCGATTATAGAAATTGTTATCTCTTCAGATGAGACAATAAGCCTAATATTTTAAATTAGTTAAGCAATCCACGCATTGCTGGAACTCGACTTTGAATATTTCACACTTATGATATTAGTATTATTAAAAATTGTCGAATAATAAAATCCAAATCGTATTTAAAAAAGAAATCTTTTAATTTCGACGAATATTATATACAATAATCCAAGCAATATTTTGGCTTATATAGGACAACTATTGCTTCTTATAAATTAGCCAATGTATGAAGTTGGTTTACAATTCTTTTTTCATTTATAACTACTACATTGACTTTGAATTTTATACACCATTAAACTTATCAAACATGGCAGTAAAGTTAAAATAGCCATTTCTGATAAAATCGATTATAATAAAGACTTACTATAAAACAATTTATGATTTAATCACTTAATGGATAAAAAAAGAAATAATCTTTTGTTGTTACTATAATGTGTATATAATGAAATTAATAATACTGAAAGTCAATTTGACATTAATTAGTCATAGTTATGACAATTAGTAGGTAGCAAAATTATTATTATCTACTATTTAATTGATAATTTCAAATGTACAAAATACTGATTTGCAGAAGTAACTACTAAATAGGTACAAATTCTGTCTGTGATGATGAAAATTTAGTATTAGTATTTATTTTATATTATACGTTAAGGTCTTTGTAATAAAGATCTTTGTCACGTCAGTATTAAAAAGAAATAATTTGAATGCAAATATAAGCTATACCATTAAAGTTAATGTACAATGTATTCACAATTTTCTGTTTAAAATGGTACTTACGTTTCCATCAATTACATCGTAGTATCTGGAAATGAGTTGTATGATGGTAGATTTTCCGCAACCCGAATGCCCGACTAAAGCAACTGACTGACCATGTTTCACTGATATACTAACTCCTTTTAATATCTGCAATAGAACATTTTTAGATATTTATTTCGATTTTTGATTTTTAATGAAATAATAAGGAACTTACTTATATGAATATAAGTCAATTATAAGTAAAAAAAAGTCGCCTTTATACATGAATAGCATTATAGAAATCATTACGCCATGTAACGTTACCATACTTGAGCATAAAGATATTATACCTACGTAATCTCTAACTTCACTCACATATATCACATATCTCACCTTTAACAGCAAACCACAGATCATAGAACAAGCTGTTTCACTGCAATAATAGATGATGAAATCTCTGGTTGATATAGACGACTTCGTAAAAAGTCTACTTCAGTAACTTGATATTACACTTATTTATTAATAAATAAGACATTCATAGAGAGTTATAATTTATTATATATATTATACTTACAGGAATATCTGGTCTTGAAGGGTAATGGAAAAATACGTTGTTCAATTCAATATTTCCTTTGATAGTTTTGGGGACAGTGCCTTCATTTAGCAGCGGGTTGATGGTTGGTACGTTATCGATAAGGTTGAAAATCTGAGCTCCAGCACCACTAGCCATTCCGAATACTTCCATGAGAGTCGATGATATACCAAAGTTTGCTGAACCCATCATAACTCCAAAGAAGACCTATACATGCAAACAGTAAATTGCGTTATCTATGCAGAAATCGTTATTATTATGTATGGCATCATCAAAGTAAATAACATCAAAGTTAATCGAAAATGTCTAGTGTTTAGCTACAAATCTGATTACAAATCACAATGTTGATGTGTATGGCATAATATCATTAGATTACAAATATTTTTCTGTGCAAAAAAATCTGAATATAAACAATATTGAAATAACATACAACAATTTGCACACACATAAAGCCAACGCTTGAAACAAAGATGAAAAATTAAAAACAGAAAGCTGGTACAAACTAAGAGAGAAAGAAAATAATTTCATAAGAGATTAAACTAAGAAGTATCATTATTTTTTCAGAAAATAGCTTTACTTACGGCTATCATATCTGATATTTCGTAATCATCTTCAACTATTAACTTGTATCCAAACCAAAATGATAAAGCGTATGCGCAGAAAATACAGAAGAAGAGAGTACCCATTGCCATTCCGTTGAAAAGTGCTAAAATTGTAATCAATTATATACATTAATATTGTGAACGACCCTTGTTATCGTGTACTTGAACTGATTTGTTAAACAATAATTTTATACATTGTACTTATGTTACCGGGTAGAATACGCTAATATTAGAAATGTCTGAATCAATTTAAGTACAGATGTATTCTAGCAAGTTTCCAGAAATATTTAGTGTTTGTCGCATTTCAATCGGTTACTAACATAAAAGTTAAAATCAATACGGGATATTTTCCTTAATAATATTATTATAGAGATATCCTTAGAATGGTGAAAACAATTTGTAGATTACCTTTTTTGATATTTATCTCTCTGACAGTTTTTATGTGAGCTCCATAACGTTCTACTTCTTTTTCTTGTCCGCTAAATGCATATACTGTTTTTACCGATGATATTACCTCTTCTGCTATGTTACCGGCGTGACCAGATGCAACTGCTTCTTTTTTTGATAATTTAGATGCAATCTTTAAAAAAAATAAGAAATTAATTAATAGATAATCTTCATTGTTATTATTTTGGATTTGTAAATAATTAAGAATATATATTACCAATCCTGCTACTCCGACCAGAAGTAATGTAACTGGGAATGATATTAAACACAGTAAAGCAAGTTTCCATCCTTTGATAAGAGCCATAATTATACAGCTAAGAAATGCTGATTGATAAAAAATAAATGTGGCAAATTTCTCCCCTATACCATCCTCTAGTTTTACCACGTCGCTGAAAAATATAAAGAATAACAGTAATAATTAGAATCGTGAACAATTTATGCAGCACTATCTAGTCCCAAACTAACCAGAGCTTGTGTTATAGGACAATAGATACAAATACATAAATATATTTATAAATGCATACATAATTAACATAGTAAAAACGTAAACTGCTTGCTTTGATCTGGGTGTTTACTATGATATATCATACTCATGAATACAAATATTTGTATCGTGTGAGGAATTGAACTGGCTACTAGTAAGGTAGTGTGCTATACCACTAGACCACCGAAGCCATCAAATATATACATGTTATAATAGAATATTTTGTAAAGATATATAAATGTTAATTTGTAGTAGACAATTTTGCTGATATTAGAGTCTGAAGTAGGTACTCTGTTCAGCTTATTTAAAATTCAAACATTGTTAATTGTGTATCATTTCTATTGATTATCCGATAAATGCTGTCATTAAGTCACTCATTAATAATATTTTAATAGATTTCTAATAATTTTGTACCTTGTCATTTTTGATGCAAAATCCCCTGTTTTATGTGTATCGAAATATTCAAAGTCTTGGTTTAGAGCTGCCTTTAAATATTCTTGACGTACCTTGTATATCTGTTACAAAAGATTTAGTCAGTTTTCAATAATGAATAGGTTAATTAAAAAAATATATGTATTTGTTAATATTAAAATTTAAACTATACTGACCTGATTATATGCTGCTTTGTTCATTAAAACGGTAGCAAAATATGAGAGAATTACAACTAATGCACCAACAACGCAGTTCCATATTGCAAAATCTTGAATTGCTTTTAAAAAGGCATCGCCGTCTGGTGTACCAGCATCAATTGAGAATTGATAATAAACCATACTTTGTAATAGGTCGGCAAATAGGATAGTATTGATAGGCATAGAACACCCGCTTGCCACAGAAAAGAATAGCGCTATTGTGATGTAAATTTTGTCCTTTTGAGTTGCATATCTGAACTGTAAACAGGTTTATAATATTTTCTATTAAAAGATAAAACAACCAGTTTTAATTAGCATACATTATATAAACAAGGTAGCATCATCATCTGCTTCTTCCTTACCCCATTTATTTGGGGTCGGCGTAATATGTTTTTCTCTTCCATTCATCTCTGTTCGCAGTCATCCCGTTATTTACTCCCTTTCTCACTATATCATCTTTCACACAGTCCATCCATCTCTTTTTAGGTCTTCCTCTACACTTATAACCATCCACACTCATATGTAACACCGTCCTTAGGATATGTATTACATGCCCATACCACAAAAGACGGATTACTCTTTAACCTCTCCGATATCGGTGCCACTTTCATACGTCCTCTGATGTATCCATTCTTTATCTTGTCTATCCTTGTCACACCACACATCCATCTCAACATTGAATATAAACAAGGTATTTACCACGATAATATTGTTAAGTAGAATCCAGTTTGAAGTGTCTATGAATGAATACGTAAAGTAAAATCTTTGTACTTCTTTTTATGAAATATGCGCGAACAGAGGAGTATGTTTGGTACATTTATCATTACATAGTATAAAATAAAGTCGCTGTCGTAGTCTGTCCCTATGCATGCTTAATCTTTAAAACTACGCAACGGATTTTGAAGCGAATGTTTTTTAATAGATATAGTGATTCAAGAGGAAGGTTTATATATATAACACATGTATATTCGTGCGAAGCCGGGGTGGGTAGCTAGTAGTTTATATAGAGAAGTACTGCGGAATGCTAATATCTTTTTTTAATTATGCATACAAAATAGATTACGTGAATAAAAAGAACATTACACAAACTACCATATATTTGACACACACACCTACTCTTTTGTCTATTATTAAAATCTGTGGTCAAATTGAGAATTTATTAATACTGTTTGTCGTTAATATTACTTGTCTATAGTTTTACTGAATACTGAATTAATTGTGGTTGAATTTAGACCATTCGGCGACCACAAATTTTAACACATACTTGTATGATAAATATGTTTCGACTAATTTTAGTGAGTTCTTTTTTTTTTAATAAACGCTACTATTTCCTTACCAATGTGAAAAAAGATACGCTTGGTACTTCTTCTGGCTTTTTCTCGCCATCTTCTGATGCACTGTAACAAAATAAGATATATTTTAATGTAGTATTTATAATTTTAGTCTCATAAAATGCACGTCATTATAAAAATAAAATTGGCAAATACTGAAATTTATGAGAATAATGAAAATAAATTATTTAATAGCAATCAGTAAGTAATATATAGCAGTTTTCACATGGAATTTAAAATACAATGATTCTTTTAGTGAGTATTAAATAATAAATTTATAATGTAAAAACTTGACGTTCATAAGCGGCTAAAATGTCCTACATGTATAAATGATTTTTGAATTTGTATTTTAATTTGAATTTGAATAATATATTGTGGGTAAATTTCATAAATGTTCAAAATTTCTGTCTATTTATGACCATGGCACTCTTTAAGAATACAAATTTATCAATAAGAAAAACTCAATATTTGTAAATATATATGTAGTTGTTTTTTGTTTACAAAGATACACGCTCACACAACTTCGTAAAACGGTTTGTAGAAGACCGTTATATATATATATATATATATATAATAAATAAATTTTATATATATATATATATATATATATATATAATAATAAATTTTTCAAAAACTACAGTCATTGGAAAATCCATTTCAGTGGTTTAATATTAGAGTATAATTTAAAAAAAAATTTTAGTTAATCCAGTATTGTATTAAGTATGCGACATAACTAAGGTCGTACATATATACATAAATCTTTTGGAATTATTAAAATCTGTTACGTCGCTTAGAATACGCAAATCTGAGAAACAGAAAGACAAAAACAGTGCGCTTTGTTTTGTATTTTGTATTATTTATAGAAGTAGTTATAGGAACTATTTCTATCGGCGTCTTTGATATTTATTTTTTTTTCTAATTTCTTTGGTTCATTTTCTTTTAATTTTTTGTATATAGGTATTATTATTGCTATAGGTCGTTGTATATCTCTTATTTCTGTGTATATCCCATTTGTGAATGTTTTATTTAAACGACCTCGGTTGTCTGGCGGTTTAGCATACTGCTTTGCTTCCGATAGTCGCGTGTTTGATTTCTAGCTACAAACAATTTTATTCATTGATCTGAATAAGTAAGAATACGTCCAGTATTCTATGCATTTTACGTAGGTATTTAACAATAAAATGTATTTAGGATTATACGGCGCCGTGTGAATTCTCTTGAGATATTACTATTATTATTATATGAAACTATTGCCGTTAAATAATTTCAATACATTGTTATTATAGTATGTCACTACTAGTTTCGTCAACAGGTTAATATTATACTAGCTATGCTCGTGATTTCATCCGCATGAAATTTATAGCCTATATGTTTTTCTGATGTACATATAACTTATATTTACTGTAAAGTTTTATCAAAATCCGTTTAGTAGATTTTGCGTGAAAGAGTAACAAACATCCATCTATACTAACAAACTTTCACTTTTATAATATTATTAAGATTGATTTACAGTTGGGCTTAAAAACAGAATAAATACAATACCACAAAAACTAGATAAATATATGTTATTACCTTGTATGATAGACAAAAATTGCTTACGATTGTTTTAAATTAATATAGCGCGCACGCGAATAAATTGTTTCATTGAACGGCTGTTAAGGAATCGTTAAATGAACAAGTGAGTGAATGAGCAAATATTTTGGTACATTACAAAGACCTATCTTTGTAATGTACCAAAATATTTGCTCATCAGAATTACGGTACATTCAGAATTAGAAACAATAATAACTCGTGACAAATTACACAGCGCCATCTGGTCCCCAAGTAAGCAGAGCTTGTGTTATGGGTACTATAAAATAAGTAATATAAATATTTAGATAAATAGTTTTCGTAAATATATACATAATATACATAGAAACATTCAAAACAATACAAACAATCATACTTAGGAATACACATATTTCTACTATGCGAGGAGCATGGATTATGAGTACTAGATAACTGATATATATATATATTTAAACACATATATTATTATGATACATACATAACATACAAAGGCCGATACAAATAATCATACTTAGGAATTTAAATGTTTCCACTGTGCGAGTAATCGAACCCGCAACCATCGGAAGAAAGGCGGTGTGCTAAATCACTAGACCAAAGGCCGAAATAGTGTTACTAAGTTGCCTTCCCTGTATCCCATTATTTGGGGTATGCGCAGTATCTCAATTTTTTACAGTGTTAATAAGTTTTAAGCATTAACTTTATGAATTTATTTGCATTTATGTAAGATATCGATCTTCAGAGATTCTTATGGATGATAATGGAATGGTGCACTCCGCGTTCGATAACGGTTTACGCTGGCGAAGCACCAATGGAGGGTGATAAGACGAGCATGGACCTCATGCTCGTCTTCTCTCGACCTCTCGCCCAGTCAGTTACCCAGAGAGATCGTGGAAGACGTGGAAGACAACTTGACATGGTATAATTCTAGCAATGGGGTTATTATTCCACATTACTAAGAATCCTCCTCCCACCGATCTTCAGTGATTTGAACTATACACATACTCTTAATTTTTTTTTTATTTATACTTGTTTTGCAAAAAATAAATATTTATTATGGTTTCGACCAGGTTGCACTGGCCGTGGTCACGAGCTGACCATAACATTATTCGTCGTAACACCCGGTTAACTATATAAATAATGAATATATCTTCCATTGTTAATCTAGTTATTTCAGAAATAAGAACAGACATTAAAGTAGATTAAGCAAGAGATATATGCAGTTTTAAATATACTTCTTTAGCACTTCGAGACTTGACATAAAAATATGATTATAGAATAAATAATTAAAGAAGTGTCCAGTTTGTTAGGCAAAATATAAATAAGTCAAGTCTATTTACCGTTTTTTTTTTGGTTGTAATAGTATATTTATGCATTGTATTTGAGACACGTTCCTAGGTGAGGTAAAATATATACATAATATATTGCTCGCTAGCAAAAACGTAAAGACAGGAAAATGGTATTAGAAAATAAACGGTATATAAAAACAGAACATCTAAATATACAATTCAAAAATATATAAAAAAACCTATCAAAAAGGTTGCCTTCAGCAACACTTTGTATTATCAAAATACTACATGTATTTGTTTCCATCCATGTTTGTGAAGAGAAATAAATAAATAATTTTATTATTTAAAAAAAGTGTACTTAACTAAATTATGATGCATCTATTACATTAATCTACGTTACTGAATTTTAATGAAAATAGATTTTATCTCTATATATTTAAAATCCATTGTACGATGACTATTAGGATCATATTATATATTATATATGAGATATTAAAATAATTATACTAAGATGCACAAAATATATTAATAAACTGATTTTATATTTTAATCAAGATATATTTATAATGCATCCAGTTATCTTTTATCAGATTTATCAGATACAAGTGTTTACTCTTAAGTGGATTCATGAACAGCTATTTATGACAATTAAATATATAATTACAAATTATAATCTTTATTCAATTAAACTTAATATAAGCACTTTTAAATAGTCATATTATTATTTATAAGAGGAATGAGCAAGAAATGCTCTTTTAAATAAATTTCTGAATTTTCTGAATAATTTTTTTAACACATTTGTATATTGTACATAAGACTATAATACTAGATATACATACCTTTCATCACTTGACACTTTTTTCGTATCCGTATCTCCATTAGATACATTAACACTATTCATTTTATATCTTTTCGTCATCCTACTGAAGTGTCACCCGATTTAAAACTATATTATTAAGATCAAAGAGTTTATAATTTGAATAAAAATTAATAAAATTTAAGTAAGTGATATTCTCGTGTACAACACACGACGTATTTACAAATACTATTTTTAAATTGGCGCTTTAATCAAATATGATTGTTCCCGATCGGCGTTACTTCTAGACTGATACGAGTTATCGTTCAGATAAATAATATCAATACGTTATATCTCGTTTTTATATCGCCAACATCTCTACCTATGCTAAAATTATGTTATCTAAATTATAATTTGACATTGTCAGTTACAATTCTTCTTTTGTTTTTAATTTAAGTGTGGTCAAAATAAGAGCAGACTTCTCTTATTTTGACCACACTTACTTTTTAACATACAGAAAGTATGCAAGAAAAACAAATCGTCAACATCTCTACCTATGCTAAAATTACGTTATCTAAATTATAATTTGACATTGTCAGTTACAATTCTTCTTTTGTTTTTCTTGCATGCTTTATGTATGTTAAAAAGTAAGTTTGGTTGTTTTTCTTGCATACTTTTTGTATGCAAGAAAAAAAAACAACTCGTCAACATCTACCTATGCTAAAATTACGTTATCTAAATTATAATTTGACATTGTCAGTTACAATTCTTCTTTTGTTTTTCTTGCATGCTTTATGTATGTTAAAAAGTAAGTTTGGTTGTTTTTCTTGCATACTTTTTGTATGCAAGAAAAAAAAACAACTCGTCAACATCTACCTATGCTAAAATTACGTTATCTAAATTATAATTTGACATTGTCAGTTACATTCTTTATGTACGTTAAAAATTAAAAGTGTGGTCAAAATAAGAGCAGTCTATTTGTCGACCAGAATTCTTTTGTTTTTTATATTACTATGGTGCAAAACAAGCATACAGGCTATCTGATGGTAAACGGTTACCGTAGCCTATAAACACCAGTTGAAAAGATAACTTATTAATATTATTAACGCGAAAGTTTGTGAGTATGGATGTTACTTTTTCACGAAAAACTACTGAACGGATTTTGAGAAAAATTTACAGTAATATAGCTTATACATCAGAATAACATATAGGCTATAAATTTCATGCGGGTGAAACCGGGGGCCCAGTTAGTATAATATATTAGAAGAAAGGTATAATATTATAATATTAAGTCTATAAAAAATATTTTAACATTTTAAATTTGGAATGTGCTTTTAATTTTTTTTCTGGAAGATTTTTTTAATTAATTTATTTGCACATTCACTTTTTTTAATTCGAGGATATTTATTTTAATTAGAATGTTATAGTTATATATATACATATGTTTTGTTTGATTTCAAACGTTATTATCTATCGAGTACAATCCATAAGAGGAGGCGAAATATAGTAAACATTATTTTTATAATCAGTCGTACTAGTTTCAACGAGTAGTAACATGCTGTATTCATTATCTCTGTACACTAATATGTTATGTCAATTACGTTTGTTTTTCGTCATCAGATTGTTAATCATCGAGGAATGTAAAGTGCCTACATATTTTTTAGTCTATTAATAATTTTATTATTATTTATTGTTGTGTAATAATTTTTCTTTCGCTTTCATGCAATCTGTGGGGGTGATTCGTGAAGGAAAGAAAACTTTTTTTAATAGGTGGTAGTGGAATAATGTACACGCTTACGTAAGTATAAAAGACATCAGTGGAAGATGACAGTTTAACCCGTTGTGAAGTATATATTAGAAATTAACAACGACGGTAAGTGAAAAATAAAAAAATTAACCACCAGATCATTTTAAAAGACAACAAAAAATATTTTAACATTTTAAATTGGGAATGAAAAATAGAACAAGATCATAATTGCTTTTTTTTCAAAGGAAGATTTTTTTAATTAATTTATTTGAAACTATGGACATTCACTCAAGATTTTTAATTCGCTTGGAAGAGGAGATGACTAATTAATTAGAATGTTATAGTTATATATATATATGAAAAAAAAGGCTATAATAAATAAAAAAAAAAAAAATTATAGTTTCCACCAACGAAAACAAAAAAAGTCGATAACAATAGTATGGTAAACAAAAGCAGTAGTATAGAATAATAGAAAATCATTTATTCAAATAAACTTACATTGAAGCACTTTTGAATAGTATTTTTATAATCACCGCTCATTCGGAAACTAGTCTCACAAGAAGAACGAGCAAGAAACTTGCGTGTTGCTCTTTTAAATAATTTTATTATTACTTTAAATTTTTAAGTTTAAGTGTGTGTAGTATTAAGAACCATCTTTTTTTCATCACATAAATCAGATTTGTTAATCATCGTTGGAATGTAAAGTCACGGGTACATTTTTTTTAGTCTATTAATAATCGGATTCATTATTGATTTTTTCGATTTGTGATTATGTTAATTTTTCGTATTGAGAACTATTTGCTTTTTTCAATCGTATATATCAATGAGATATTTACTATATGCGAACACTGGTTAGACTATTTGCGTTTGCAATAGTATATGCTGGTGGCCACACTATTCTCCCAAGTTTGAATTTAAAAATTAATCTGTATTATTGTAAACATGTATAATATTAATTTGAAAAGAATACGAGCTGAGTTTCTTGTCAGTTCTTCTCATCTAGTAATCATTCTGAACTTATAGTAGATTTGACATATCATAAGAGTGTAATAGACCTACATGAATAAAAATATTTTGAATTTGATTACAAATATGACATGAACGAGATGAACAACTATAAATATATATATATTGATTATAACAATATTATTAAAGAGTTCCTGATATTTACGACGCTGTTACAAACGTCCTGCTCATGATTTGACCCATGACCAGGCCATTTACAATAGCGTCGAAATATCGGAAGCCCTTTAACAACATTATTATAATCAATATCTCATTCATATCATATTTATAATTGGAAATAACCGTAAAACTAGTTTAAAACTGTTTTTGAAATTGATTGATACCTATTAACAACTCAACTGTAACTAATGTCGATTATAGAAATGCAAAAGTAGTAACGAAACGTAATTTATCGTATCGGACAAGTAACCGATATTGGATACCAGTACCGATATTGAGCGTATTCTAACCCTAACCAAACTATGTAAAATATAGCTTATGATAAGTGAAATTCACAAATAAATATCTAAGCGTTAGTGTAACAACAATATCTGGTATACACTTGATACATACTTTATATAGATTAAGTCCGCAAAAGTATCACAGATGTCGACCGATATCGTCGATATATAGATATTGGTACATATGACATTCAAAATCAATACATAAGTAAAATACAGATAAGGACTATATCTACTTGATATGATGTCGCTAATATTCTAGTTTCACACTATGCATATACGAGTTATACTCATTAGTTATAATCAATAATGTATAAACGCATTAAACATATATTGAGATATGTTTTGTACATATTTGTCTGCGTGGACATGGACTTTTTTATCAATTTTTATCTAAGCAGCAACTAAACAGCTTGTTTTGGAATCTGTAAGACAGATGGCAATGAAGTTAGATATTATATTTCACTTTAGTCTTCACTAATGGCAAAGTATGAAGCAGGTATCACGTGACCACGTGATGTACGCGCTATTTTTTTTTAATGTAATGGGGCTGGCATAGCATACCTCGTCATGATAAATAAGCTGACGGTCCAAGTCATGTTTAGAAAGGCGATGGTTATCATCGCCTATGTAATTGAATATCACGTTATCACGTTATCATGTGGCGCTATGGATATAGCCAATACGTTGCTATTCTAGAGGACTTAGAGGTTTTGTTTTTCGTCGTGTAAACTCACTGCTTATCTCTGTGTTCAACCGAAACACAGCTGCTTGGTGACTACATTGGGTGAGACTGAGGTACCCACGCAGACTTTTAACAAAGTGATGGTTCAAGTATATAGGAGATGGTTTTGATGAAGACATTAACGTGGCGGTTTTATTCATCCCGGTTACATAAAAACACATACCTTTCCTCATTTGCCAACTTCTTTTTGTCAGTACTATCCTTAGACACGACGGGAGGTTTATTTATTTCATATTTTTTCTTCATTTTACCGCGATCTCACCACGGAAAAACGTGTATACAATTTAATAATATACAATTATTAAAATAAACAACAAATTAATCGAGATTATCGCGTATTTTATTAATAATTAAATACGATCGCTTACAATCCGTGTACCTTTGTAACTGATACGGGTCATCGTAAAGATAAATGGTATCAACGTATTTTTATATCTGGCTGCCAATATTTTTACACTGATCCTAATACATTGTTATCGTGGTTTTAATTTGATATGGTAACCACATTTATAAAATTTGCATGTTTCGCAATTTTATAATGTTTTTCGGTATATTAGATATTTATATTTTACATTTTTATATACATACTACCTGATTCCGCGATTCCGTTCCGTCTCAGAATTAAATAATATGTGAAAGGGTTTTTGAAGTTTAATAAAGTAATAAATTTCTGAACGAACCCTATTTGATAGGTACGAACAGTTTGTATGGGAAAAAAAATTGTTGTTTTTATTATTATCTATGAAATTTCTTCATATTTTATCACCTTCCACGAATATTTTAAGACTAAAATAGCCAAAACGGTTCAGCCGTTCTCGAGTTTCAGCGAGACTAACGAACAGCAATTCATTTTTTTATATATAGGTAGTTGTGTATTCCGAAACATTTTCCTCGACTCAGTTCGAAATCAGCGTAAATATTGCGTAACATAGAAAAATGAGGTCAAATAATGACAGCTTCGATGGTCTAGCGGTTTAGTACACCGTCTTACTTTCGATGGTCGCGGGTTCGATTTCTCGGACGGCACAAACCTTTGTATTCATGATTATTTGTGTTTGCATCGGTCTGGGCGTTTTATGTGTATAAAATGTATGTATTTACGAAAAAAAACTATGTATTTGTATCATATGTTATGCATAAGTTGTTTTGTACCAATAACACATAATATGTTATTGGTACAAAACAAC